CTCTCTGACACTAATAAGTATATCCTAACGGGTGATCTCAACGCAAAGCACTCCGAGTGGGGGTGCCGTAAAACTAACCAAAATGGTAAGGTCCTCTATGAATTTATAAATAATCACCCAGTTGCCTTGCATGTTACTGAGGAGTATACGTACAGACCACAGAACCCAAGAAATGCAGACCTTCTTGATATTCTTCTGACAAATACTTCAATCCCTATTTATACTGAAGTAAAGCACGAATTGAGCTCTGACCATATACCGGTCATTGCTTACCTAGGCACTACTAAAGAGGCAGAAAATGAAATGATCCGCACGACTGACTGGAATAAGTTCCAGAAGTTTCTCAGTCAGAATCCGCCCATCTTTGATACTCTGAACTCGCGGAAAGATATAGATGATGCAGTTGATACCCTCACTGATTCAATCAATAATGCTATTGAAAATGCATCTAGACACGTGAGAAGAAATAATAACGCTGGCATTCTGCCACAGGAAATTAGAGAGATGATTAAGGACCGGAATAGGATGAGGAAAGCGTGGCACCTTACATGGAGCCCTCACGTTAAAAGAGATATGAACAAATTAAATAAATTAATTAAAAAGAAAATAGATGAGCATAAGAGAGATGTATGGGAGGAAAAAATTCAGAATCTTAGTCCGAATGATGGCACTCTCTGGACGTTCATGCGTAACTTGAAAAGGCAGCGTACATGCAATAAGCCGATTTATACTGAAAACTCTGTTGCTCTCAATAATAAAGACAAATCGACGGTCCTTGCGGACCATTTAGAAGAGCAGTTCAGACCTAACATGACGCCCATGGACATTAATTTTGTCAATGAGGCATGCTACTTTGTTAGGGATTGGCTTAATGCCCACACTGCTAAGAGGTACATGGCCACTGCTACCCCCAGTGAGATCAAAGAAATCACAAAGAAGCTTAAAGTCAAAAAGGCCCCTGGCATAGACGGTATTAATAATCACGCACTTAGAAATCTGCCCTGCAATGTTGTGACAAAATTCACGAGTATTATCAATGCGTGTCTTAGTCAATGCTATTTTCCCACAAAATGGAAAATCGCAAAAGTTATTTTATTGCCTAAGCCCGGCAAGGATAACACTAAGCCAGATGGGTACAGGCCCATTAGCTTGCTTCCGGGACTAGGAAAGGTCTTTGAGAGATTAATCTACAGCAGATTGAAAAACTATTGAATTACTGCCTCCGGAACAATTTGGTTTCCGGAGAAAGAAAGCTTTCAACAACGAAGCAGCTGGTTCGGCTCGTCGAGTTTTGTGGGGATGCGCTTCACAAGAAACAAAATGTCGCCTTACTCATGCTAGACGTGGCGAAGGCATTCGACCGCGTCTGGCATGAGGGGCTTATTTATAAACTTATAAATCTCCCTATGGATAGAGAGCTGATTCAGCTAATTATGTCTTTCATCACTAATAGGAAATTCACTGTGGCTATTGGAAAGGACATCTCCAGTTTACGCACCATGAATGCAGGCGTCCCACAGGGGTCCATTTTAGGGCCCGTCCTGTATTTATTTTATGTTCATGACTTCCCTAGGGCTCACATTGGCAGAAATTACTTTCTTGGGTGCTATGCGGACGATACGGCATTAGCCGTAAAGTCCGCAAACGCACACCATGCAATCAAGAAATTACAGGAGCTTCTACCAGTGGTAGAAAAGTGGTGTGTACGACTTGGAGAATTGCTATTAATGCCAGCAAGTCGCAATTATTATTGATAAGGAGGAAAAATACACAGTTGACTATTAATAGCAAGCTCTTCTTATTCTCTGAAGAGATTCCTAGAGTTAGTAAGGCGAAATATTTAGGAGTAATGCTAAATGAAAGATTAAAATGGGGAGATCATATAACAGAGGTCAGAAGAAAAATTTTCACTGTTGTAAATAGTCTCATCCCTATATTGGGTAATTATTCTAGCTTAGACCTCAGGAAAAAGAGGCTAGTTTATATCACGGCAATTAGGCCATTGATGACTTATGCGTCGCCGGCCTGGTGCACGGCTACCAAGGAGGATATAAAAAGACTTCAAATCATGCAAAACAAAGTCTTAAGGCTTATCACCCATGCTCACTTTTTTGTGAGCAATGCTACACTGCACTGTGACTTAAAACTGGACACTCTAGAAGAGCACCTGAATAAGATCAACAGGAAATTCTTCACGAAAGCTCTGAACTGTGACCATATGAGAAATTTTGATATCTTTACCTACGAAATATTGAATGAGGACGCCAAACTGCGCCCACTTGCGGCCCACCTTATCAGGGACCCGAACTTTCCCACCTAGTGCCCACCTGTAAATAATGTACCCAATGTGTTTATTAGCATTCTTAATTTTGTATCTTACTCATTTATTGTACTGTGTATTTCTTAAATTCACTAGTTTTATTCACATTCTACACTCATTTTATGACTCCCACTTAGTCACGCCTTTACCGGGCCGGTTACTTGCTAGTGAGCTCTTGCGTTGCTGGTCTTCCTATTCTTTATCCGTCTTTCTCCTCCTTACTGCGGACATTATGTGAAGATAGTTCTATGTTATTGTGCCCATCCGGCATAAATTTGATTGAGCCAGATAAACTACTGATCTCAGCGGTATTCTGGCTATAAGTTGTCAGTCAGTTCAGGCTAACACTTGAGGAAATTTTATTTTTCTGGTAAATTTCGGAATACGTCATCGAAAGCCAGAAACACGAACGACAGTTTAAACAGTTTAAATGTATACAAAATCTATCTTGCAATTATTAAAAAATATAAATAAAATCAGTCAATAAAACAATAATCAATAAATACAATTTTAAAACAGAAAAATGAAAATGAAAGTAAATAAATAAATAAATGCAAATAAAAATTAATAGAATCTGAATTCATATTGCATTTTGCCTACAAAATTTCAAAATGGTGAATTTTTTTTTAAAGAAAGAAATATATAAATCACAAGATTTTTGGTTTAACGATTTTACATTCTACACATGAAGATCTTAGGAAATTACTTAGGAAATCGCAGTCTGATCTTTTAAGATAATTGCAGCCTGATCTTAATATCAAACTTCAATTTAACACCTGAACACAGTTTCACTTTACCAGTTATAATAGGATTGTTAATTTAACAAACGAACTAATAATTATTGAAATATAAACTATTGAAATTTAATATCTGTTTCAAATGCCAATACCAAATATGTCTCAAATTCTCTAACAACTCTGAATTTACACGAATAATCCGCTGGTAGTTCGGTGCGAGGTTCGAATCCCGCGAACGGGCTGGCTGCATGGGCGTTTTCGTGGTTTTCCCCATGTGTAACGTGTATACGCCAGTTTCCCTTAGAAAGTCCTCCACGAAGGCATCCATCCTCTTAGGCAGATAGCCCACGAGGCTTTGCCATAATCACACACACACACGAATAATCCTATGTAGAATGTAATACTGACGTAAATGGAACATAGTTTTCATGTTCTGCTTAACTTCCCCTGAAAGTATTTTAGCATGCTTACATTACTGATTTAATTCTATTAAGCGCATTGAATTTTACATTTTCTTCGTTTTTCATTTCTTCATTTTAACACAGTTTAACAAATAATCCTTTTTAATATTTTAAGCAAAAGCTTCATTTTAAGAGGTATGATTGAATTTGAAAATTTTTAAAACTTAGAACACTTAAAATAAATTCTATGCTCCCGTTGTCAAGCCTCATCAGTGGCCCAGTGGTAATGCTCGTTGAATACCTGGAATTCGACCCGGGTGTTATCTCAGACAAGCAAGATGATGCATGGTTAGTTTTAGAGATTATCCATATGTGTTCAACGTGTTACACAACGGTCCACAGATATTTCCTTCTGCTCAGAAGTACCAGGATATGCTTAAGAAATACCAGAAAATTTCTGAATATGCGTACAGATATCTAATCACCCTATAAATTATTAGCGTCAATTATTAGTGTTTCTCTCTGTATCTGATCGCTAATTTATTAGCGATCAGATACAGAAAGAAACTCTCACTTGACCATGTGTATTCGTCTCAGCAACATGCCAGAGCAAGCAGTAGAGTACTGTATGTAATTATTTACTGTTAATAAATTAGTTAGTTCTCTATTTATACAGTCCACTCATTAGTTTTAGGGTATAGCATACATAAATTAATTACTTTAATTAAACTTCTTTTCATTTAGAAAATATACAAACACCTTTTCTAAAAATGTACATATATATCATAATATGCATGTCGCGGTGTATAAGGATATAAATACTATTTTGGCCTGCAACAGATTTTACAATTCTTAGGACTTCAATAGATTAGAAAATACTTAAGTTACAAATTCATTCTTCTTTTACTGTAGCAAACCGCGTCTTTTTAATCAATTCAGTAATGATTAATAGAAAACCAGTAAATTAATATAAGTTCATGCAGCATTTTAAATCATTAGATTATTCCAACCGAAAGAATAATTGACAAAAACATAAGCAAATCTTTCAAAAGTTTTTGCTGTGTTATTAATTATCTGTAGTCGTATATACCTCTGCAAACAATTGAAATTTATTCTACTTCGTAGATGTAAATTTTTGGTAGATTATATGTGGCAAAATGTGTCATTCTCTACACGTGTCATATTTTTGCTGTTCCAGTAGTTTGAACATAATTATAATACAGTAAAGTTTCGTAACATTTTTTTTTTTTTTTTATCTACCGTAAGGATTAATTTGTAACAAACAACGTGATACTCTTTCTATTCAGTTTTCAAATGCGTGGATTTTGTTTTTGCGTTGTTTTATTGTTGTAAACATAACACACCTTCATTGCTGTTTGTTTGCCTTGTTATAAATATAGAACTTTTTTACAAAAAAGAATATCAAATACCCTTGGTAGTGAGTTAAAAATACTACTTTTCATCAAAAAGAAAATGTCATCTGATTTTGTTTTACCTTTTATTATATTTTAAACTTGCTCATTTACACAAGATTAGGTTTAATGTAACAAAACCACTTATAAGGAATTTTGCTCTTACTTATATGCCAATGAATCCCATTATACTTCTATTAGTGTTCCAGTAGAAGGTGGTCTATTAGCAATTGAGGTAATTCAAGTTGAAAGGCATCTCCTGCATTTTTAAGATTTTCTCTAACAGTGATATTGCACAAATCTTGTAAGCTAAGACATTGCTTGGATATACTAATTATATAATTAGACAGTTGAATACGTTCCTTATCTTCGAAGATAGGCAAATATTTTTCACGATCATTTCTCGATAATTTAGCACCAACTTTTAGAAGTAAGTCTACTATTCTCTTGTTTCTGTTTCCACATGCACAAACCAGTGGGGTAAAACCCAAATTATTACATTTGTTGATGTCACTCCCAGAAATAATTAGTTTGCGAATAAAAACTTCTTGGTCAAACATAACTGCGAAGCATAGAGCAGTATTACCCTCATTATGAGCCGCATTCACGTTAATGTCCCGTTGTATCAACAGCATAAACAAGTCTAAATATGAAGACTCTATACTCTTTGCTGATTCTGGGGTACGTCGACTTTGCGCAGCACAATTATTGATAGTCATCATCAAAGCTGTCATTCCAGTTGCCGAACTGTGGTTAATCTGTCAAAGAAAGTAAGAATTTCATACAAATCAAAATATTTGAATAATAACAAATGTTACGAAAATTTGTAAATCATTAAGTTGTAAAAAAGTCTCTACTTCATTTTCAGAAGATAAATATAGGCAAGTGCAGTACAGTGAAATATCTCTGAAAATCCCATCTATTGAATTAAATAAAATACGGATGCAAAGTTTCCTACAATTATAATTATGAACCTGATCCTCTGTAAGGAATCCGTCTTCATACGTATAATGAATTTAAAGAAACGCGCACATATTTACTGAAAATGTTTTAAGAATCGATGCAACTAGTGAAGGTGAATTGTTTTGGAGTTTCTCATTTTTCATCCATCTCGCATCTGAAGAGCTTTCCTTGTTGAATAAGTCAATTGAAATACACCTTATGAAAATATTATGAATGTCCAATGAAACTGGATTTGGAAATAGGGTCAAACGTTTTAGAAATGGTTACAAATATCTTGAAATTGTAACGTTATGACCAAATAAAGATAACGTTTAGATGAAACACGATGGACAAAACAAATTAATCTACTCGAAGCGATGCATAGAAAAAAAGCCCACTCATCTGAATTTAAAATTAGGATAAAAGTGTCTTCATATTGACATCGGTGTTATTCAAATAAAATGTCTACGCATTTCAAGAAAGAAGCAGGATCAAAAGTATTCTAAAATGGGTATCTGTTCTGTTCCAAAATATTAAGTTTAAAAGATTCTCGCTTTTAAGAAAACGCCTGCCTGCACCAATATTTCTTGAGCGTCAATTTTTCCAATAAAATCTATATCAGTAGGTAAGGAATTAACGCGCACTCAACTAGGTATTGCGATGGTGAAAGTGGGAGCGCATTCTGCTAGTAAAAACTGTAAAATATGTGGTTGGACTAACAGGAAGGGTAAAATTGGATTTTTCATATTTACACTTTCGAAAATAACCCCCATCCTCTACAAAAAGGTGTCTTCTTTATGGTCCCACCAGAGGCCGAGTAGTAGGTAACATGGTTTGATTTAGCAGCTTTCTCCATATTTAGTGGCAGAACTAGCCAGTGCCTTTAAAAACATCTTCCAAGAAGACATCCCTCCCTTCAGGTAGCGGACTGTCGGTGCTTTGATGTATTTAAATAACCTAACCTAAACTTGAGAAAATTTGGCTAACCTTACACGAATTTAAATACTACTGTCCTGCTAAAGAGTTCTTCCAATGAGGACCACTTTTCTAAATTATAATGCTCTGCGGCTCACACTTGTTGCTTGTCATAATCAACCAACGTCCTTATACGTTTAAACATGAATTATTTAAAATTTATAGTCTTAAGAGTAGATGCTGGCAGTGGTGCGACCTGTGATGGGAGGAGACTTTCCAAAGAAATCCGCTCCTAAACGATCATATGGGGCAAAGAATATGCATTATTGAAAACAGAAACTCCTCCGCAAATGGAGCGAACCCGTCCCAACGTAGAGGCAAACAGCTGCGCATGCGTGAAATATCTGTCGCCAAAGCTCGAAGCCGGGGTCGAAATTCGAAGGTCACGTTTACGGAAAAAAAAAAAAAAAAAAAAAAAAAAAAAAAAAAGCCCACTTATCTGAATTTAAAATTAGGGTAAGCGTGTCTTCATATTGACATCGGTGTTATTCAAATAAAATGTCTACGCATTTCAAGAAAGAAGCAGGATCAAAAGTATTCTAAAATGGGTATCTGTTCTGTTCCAAAATAATAAGTTTAAAAGATTCTCGCTTTTAAGAAAACGCCTGCCTGCACCAATATTTCTTGAGCGTCAATTTTTCCAATAAAATCTATATCAGTAGGTAAGGAATTAACGCGCACTCAACTAGGTATTGCGATGGTGAAAGTGGGAGCGCATTCTGCTAGTAAAAACTGTAAAATATGTGGTTGGACTAACAGGAAGGGTAAAATTGGATTTTTCATATTTACACTTTCGAAAATAACCCCCATCCTCTACAAAAAGGGTCTTCTTTATGGTCCCACCAGAGGCCGAGTAGTAGGTAACATGGTTTGATTTAGCAGCTTTCTCCATATTTAGTGGCAGAACTAGCCAGTGCCTTTAAAAACATCTTCCAAGAAGACATCCCTCCCTTCAGGTAGCGGACTGTCGGTGCTTTGATGTATTTAAATAACCTAACGTAAACTTGAGAAAATTTTGGCTAACCTTACACGAATTTAAATACTACTGTCCTGCTAAAGAGTTCTTCCAATGAGGACCACTTTTCTAAATTATAATGCTCTGCGGCTCACACTTGTTGCTTGTCATAATCAACCAACGTCCTTATACGTTTAAACATGAATTATTTAAAATTTATAGTCTTAAGAGTAGATGCTGGCAGTGGTGCGACCTGTGATGGGAGGAGACTTTCCAAAGAAATCCGCTCCTAAACGATCATATGGGGCAAAGAATATGCATTATTGAAAACAGAAACTCCTCCGCAAATGGAGCGAACCCGTCCCAACGTAGAGGCAAACAGCTGCGCATGCGTGAAATATCTGTCGCCAAAGCTCGAAGCCGGGGTCGAAATTCGAAGGTCACGTTTATCAAGAGCTCATAAAACGAATATTGTTATAAATATCCTTAAACCTTAAAGGAAAAGAAAATATTTTTCATGCAAGTAAATTAAATAATGGATTAGTTACTTTGAGGGCAAAACGTAAGAAATCCGATTTAAATTATTGCGAAAAGTCAAAGAAGAAACGCTTTGTCAAAGACCATTTCTTCTTAACACGTGTTCTTCAATTTCCTGTACACATCCGCAGAGGGGGAAATTCTCGCCACCAGGTTCCATCGCCAAATCCCTTGGCAATTTTTTCCCTCGGCTTTCTAGCGGCGTAATACGAGCAAACAGGTTTACGTTATGTCTATGGAACCTTTCCTTCATTACACAGACGTTCTTTGTAAAGGGCTCGAGAAACACCACCTACTATGCTTTAAAATTAATAGTAAAAAAATATAAATTATTATTTAAAATCTAATTTGATTTAATTACTTACGTTTGCCCCAGCATCTAAAACCATAGATGCGATAATTATGGTACGTTTCGGGGTGTTCGATACAGCATTCAGCAGAGGGCCATTCGGTCGGTTGTGACAGGTAGCCCATGTTACCAACCTTGGAGTTACAAGCACACTACAGCCTTTTGATAAGAGCAACCGGACAACTTCTGGACTACTACTTCCACAGGCTAAATCTAAAGGAGTGCGCCCCATCAAATCAGCATTCTCAAGAATATACTCCGGCGATTTTTCAACTAACAGCTTCACAAGTTCTAAAAAAATACATACATAGATGAATATTTTGCTTTCAGCAAAGTTTAAAACAAGAAAATGATTATGAATACAAAACACCAACATAAAAATTAAAAGCATATGCATGCAACAGTAAGTTATTGTGCAGAAACATTATCTCGGCAGTTTGAGCAATTAAAATTCGCTGCTAAAATAATTCCGAAACAGAAACTACACCTTACAATTTGTTAATGTTATAAAAACTAAAAATTCCTAAGAGCAGAATTTTCTGCGTAAGACCCTAACAATTGGAAGTTTTCGTAAAAATTAAAGACATTTATAACAGTTGGCAACACATTTTAGTGGCTGTAGAAACAAAACTCATGCAGCAAATATGCGACTTTCTCCAAACTGTTGTCCTAATACCGGGGCAATTTGTTTCAGAATATATTTACCCTTTTCAAATAGATCTGATGCCAAGCGGTTAAGATCACCAAGTTTGGAGTTTGACCAAATTTGGATTCCAACTTATGCAAACGCTTTGGCTGCATTGATGATTGCTTTTCTCCACGTGATGAGTACGAACCTGGCATCTTAGGAAAGTCCTCTAGGAAGACATCTCTCCTCGTGGCTTTGCCACATTCAGGTAACCTATCATACCCTAATATTCTCAAGTGGTGCTTCACATGTTTTTCCTATACCCTTGAAGAATTAATTTGTTCACTGATAACAGTGGATGAAAGCAGGACTTCTATGAAAATCAGTCTTTGACCATCTTGAAGGTCATGTTTCTTTCGTCACTCTAGGCTAAAACACAGCATTAACATCAGATCAACTCTAAGAAAATCTCCCCCTCCCACATTCAGAGAGATAGTAATTTTAGTAACAATACTCACTTTTAAAATAAAGCTGGCACTTCGCATTATCTGAACCCCTCTTGTGAAAAGTCGCAACTATTTGGGACTCATGTTTTGCTAGTCTAAGACTTGAAAGACTGCAGCGATTTTCAAAAATTGTGCCCACTAAGAATTTCGTAAAACAAATCCAATTAATTAAATTAAAAATGTAAGAAACATTTTTGATAAAACATCGTTTTTTCGGCGTTGCTCCCACCATGTACACAGCGATGTCATTTCGCTTTAAAACCCATTAGAGAATAGTAGAATTTTAAAAATATTGCGCACAACACTTGTACAGACATTAGATTATTTCGAAGCAGGAGGCATGAAAAATGAGCAGTGCCCTCGCCGGAACTCGAACCGCAGACCTCTCGAATTCGCATTGAGCGTGCTGACCGCCACACCACGAACGCATGCTCAGAAAGCGGGAGAAATGCCTTATACACTGTCCTCCGAACTCTTTTCAGTTAAAATTATGGGCACACAAATTTTAAACACAAAATCCAATCGCTTAGAAAGTACAGCTTCATGAAAGGCTAACTTTTGCTTTCTCTACTAAGGCAAAACCCTACCTTTCTAAAGAAATGCAATGATTTCTTTTTCATCAGCTGTAATCATCATAGTTCCATTAAAATTAAAAAAATAGGCTCGGTTCTTCGGTAGAAATCGTCAATTGCTTGCTGGGTGCACGTGCTTACGTTTTGCAGATATGATGAGTTGATTACGTTGGCGGCTCAGGGTGTTGCCTCATGAATAATTTTTAGAAAGATGTGGATAATCAGAAGTTACCGTAAAATTCTCTGACAATGGCATTTAATTACTATTGTCGCATAAAGTAATAGTAGACTATTTGCAAACTGGCAACAAGAGTAAGTGAACTGTAATATCTTATTTGTAAGATACATTATGTAAATTAATTATTATGATATCTGGTATTATTATGATTAATAATTATTATAACTTTACTATGACTATTTTTTCCCTAGTTCTCAGCAAAATGTAAATTAGTTGGTCCACGTATTGACGCTGAGGGTTCGAATGTTTAGATTAGAGCTGCTGGCAGCCGCGTGTTGCTGTTGCTTATTATCACCAGCTGTGCCTAAGTTGTACTCCAGTTTCAGCATCTTGTTAAGCGACGTTTCAAATATGCGCCGTGTCAGCTTGAGTAGTCTATTTTATGCAATTACGTTACTACTCTAGACTACGTTACATACGTAAACTACGGCACTCTACTTCTTGAAGACTACGTTACTTACATCGAAATTTAGCTTTATTTTATGTTGATTAGTCGCATAAGTAGCATCTTTCCATTTATTTCAGAGCTAAATAAAAAAGGTTATTCTAATCTCCTTTTAAACTTTCTGACTTAGTGCGGATTTCTCGATAACTCGCTATGAACCTAGTAGAGTCTGAAGGAATTGGACACAAGCTTCTAGATATAGTAGAACTGTACATGTTGACTGGGCGTAAGTTTTTAGGATAATAGTCTATTTTGTTTCAGAGACATGTGTTAAACGATTCAAAATTCCATTAACAATTAATTAATTTTTGTATCTGTTGAGTATTCGATACATTAACTGCTGTTCTAACCTACAAATTAATTGAGGTAAAAAAGATGAAAATACTTCAAAACACATTATATTACCTAAAGATTTTTTGCTGCAAGCAATATGTAGAGGTGTTGATCCCTCCCTGTCTATACTCGTAATGTCAGCACCCTTTTGGAGAAGCAGTTTGGTGAAATGAAAATCTGAAATTCTGATGGCACGGTGAAGTAAAACATTGCCCAATGCATCACGGCGATTTACGTACGAAGGAATACTATAGGAGAAGTTTCCTGAAACTAAAAATAGCTTTAAGTAAAAAACAGACAGTAGATAAATATAAGTTCATATAATAATAATTAAAAATATTTTACACATGTTCTTATCGAAGTGTGTGTAGAATGATTAATAATATAATATATGTATAACTCTCCTCTATGTATATTATAACGATGCAGAACAATTTTACGAGTTTTCCATTACTTATTAGAAAATAAAAAAGTTGATAAGAATCATTTATTAAGAATATGTTAAAAATAGCAACACAAATTAAATATTTAAACAACGTTATCAAAACATATATCTGAATATGAAAAATATGGGAATATGACCTATAAGAATAACACTTAAATAGCTTCATTATGCAAAATCTTGTTTTAGTGAAACTGCTAGGGGATAAGTAAAGTGCAATTGGATGGGTTTTAGCATTTGAACTGCCAATTTCAGCTTGAAGAAGCTTTATCCTCATAGATGTAAACAACACGACTGGCAGAACTTTTCCTTCAATGTTGTTGTTGTCTTTAATTTTTAAAAAAATCTCTTTCTTTTCTTTTCACCATCGACGGAACAGCTGGTCCACTGGGTTAGGTGCTTTTCAGCCTGTTGGATCCCGTCGATGGAATTAAAAAAAAAAAGCATGAATAAATATAATTAAAGAGCTTAGTACTGTGTCCTCCGGGGACTGGCCACGAAAAGAGGAACAATAAAATAACGAACCAGAACATGGAAAGAAGGTGCATGGTGGGGACTGCTGAGACTAAGCGGAAAACTTTCCACTATTATCATACATGTTAGATATACAGTTATATTAAGGATGTGCTATAAAAATCAGGTATAGATGTAAGGATGACCAAATACATTACAAATTGTGGAATACATTAAATGAGTTCTGGATTAGTAATAATATTAAATATAGTTAAAAACAGCAAATCAAACAAAAAACACAAGACATTAAGTAAATAAATATATGTACAGAGCAGGCTGCTGACGGCACGGTGTCCAAGGAAAGAAGTCACTCCAGGTTGTCAGCAATGCTTTTAGCAATGGTAGTGCAGTCTCTAATGCGGTTGATCGCATATTTATTCTTAATTGTGTTCTTGAACCATGCTGGCATATTGATTACAGTTGGTCTTTTCAAATGTGAATTCCCTGTGTGCGAGCAGTCAAACAGATAGTGATCTGGTTCACCAGTACTGCCACAAATACATTGGTCACTGTCTCTTAGGCGAAATCTGTGAAGATAGGACATATATGGGCCATGCCCTGTCAGATACTGTGTGAGGTGCGAAGAACTGCTATTTAACCCATTAGCCGCTGGTGTTGCGTTGACGCAACGGTCAAAATAAATGCGTATATAAATAAAACTACCTAAGATATTTTATACCCCCAGATGATTTTGTGCACTTAGGGATTATGAAGATTATTTCTGTAAAAAATATTTGCCTTCAACAATCATTTTGTTTATAATAATTAATCTCATAATTTAAGCAAAATTTTCGACCGGGTATTTTTGCTGAAAATATTTAACGAAAGAATCGCCGTCTTTATGAGTGATCTATTTTTAGTCAAGGTCACCGTTTATCAGAACATTACATCAGTCAGATGTTTATATTTGTGTTGGAAAGGAAGGGAAAACAGGTGTTGCGTTGACGCAACGGCAGCAGGAAACGGGTAGTCAACCTCCTTTTTCGCTCATTCCTTTCGATGTTTGGGTTCATGTTCTGGTTGTTTAAAAATGCCTAGAACGAGGTATCTTACATTAGAAGGAAACCTTCCTTCAAAAAATTTTTTGATGAAGAAACAGATGATGATGATGTTAATAATGACCAGAATGAAACTGATATTGTTGTTGTTTCCCCAGAAATTGCAGAGGCTAGTGACGAAGATGAAAGAAATGGCAATGTTTTAAATAATGATAATGATATTTTACCAAGTGATACTGCCGAGGAAGTTGAAATTCACGTAAGAAGTAAGTTTCAGCTTTCTAAAGGCAGTTGTAGTCAAACTAAGAAGTTAAAGCAGAAGACTGAAATCTTGAAGTGGATAAAAAAGGAACTGTTAGTTATGTCTCAGGAAGAACATGAAGAAGAAGGAAGAAGAGAAATTATAAAAGACAAAACACAAGGTAAAACTAGTTCACAGATTTTCGATTTTCTTTTCAGTTTAGACATTTACTCTCTACTCGTAGAACAGACAAATATATACGCTCAGAAAAAAAAGAGAATTGCCCAGAATTTATTGCATCTGAAGCCTATATGAGAAGATTTATTGGAATATTATTGCTTACAGGATATCATTCTTTACCTCAAGTAAAAAATGTATTGGAATTTTGATAAGGACATTTCTGTCCCTGTTGTACGAACACTGATATCACGTTGCAGTACAGGAATATGAAATAAAATTTGCATTTCACAATAGTCAAATTGACAATACTGATAAATTATATGAGGTGAGACCGTATCTAAACTTACTAAATATCATCACTTCTTACTACTGGAAATATAAAGTCTCTTTTAGATTTCAGACGCGAGAATGCATTATTCTTTTGCAAACTCCTACTGAGAGTGTATAATTAGCCAAAAATAGATCAGCAACAGGAAGACCTAGTAAATTCAGCATTCAAAAACATTGCATGGAATTGCATTTTATCGTAAAGTCCGTTGATAACAAAAGACTTTGTTGTAAAGAGTACCATAGCCAGACTGTTTATAGATGCAAAGTATGTAATGTAACTTTACATCATGATTGTAATCAAGCTTTTCTTGCTTGAATCTTTCAAATGAAATAATCTGTATTTGTAAAAGAAATACAATCTATATTTTAAAATTAAATTAATTACAAGTAAAGTGATTTGTAGATTTATAAAACGTTATACAGCAAAAAAGCAATCCTGCGCTCCACTCAAAAGAAACATCACATGAGTACAATCCTACTCACTAAACATCCGTAGTCTTATTCCGCTGATGTTGCGCGAACGCAACACTCGCTTTTTCCACAGGTAAGAGCAGTTTTTTTTATTTTCAATGTAAATTTATGTTATAAATGCTTAATTTAATATTTGTTATAATTTTCATGAGAAAAGAAACATTCCTTGTAGTTTTGGCGGTTTATGGGTAAAATTGTGGTTAACTTTTGGTTGGAAATCATACAGTCTTCTGCCTGTGGTGCTTTTCTCCCAGTTGTTTTACCACTGCTTCATTAGTTCACATTTGAGAGTAGATTTAAGATACGAGTGCGGAAGGGGCACACCAATGCTACTCACGTGGGGTTCATTGGCTGCGCCCTTCGTAATCATATCCGCTGCTTCATTTCCTTTAAACCCCGTATGGGCCGGAACCCATTGTAGCTGGGCCTCAGACTTGCAGGAACCGAAATTAATAGTTTTTGTATGTCTCTAACAATGGGATGTCTACTGCTGCCGCCTTGGATGGCCTGCAAGCTTGACATTGAGTATGTGTAAATTACTTTATACCTGCCATTGTTAGCAGTAAAGTCCAGACTGCCTTTAGGGCTGTAAGTTCTGCCTGAAACATAGAGTTACTGGGATGAAGCTTCTAAGCCCAGGAATGGATTATGTGGTCACCCTCCATTACACACCAGGCACTGCCAGTCCCGAATTCTCCTTTGGAGCCATCAGTATATACGGCTAAGGATTGTAATGAACTTGGAGGATTACAGTTTACTTCTCTATCGAAGTCTGCAGGGTGGCAAGGAGAGTGGGCAATGTGATTCTCGTAGTCCGAGGATACATAAGTCTTACTCCAAATAGTAACGTCTTGTTTTAGTCTGATCACTCTCACCACAACACTCTCGCTCTGTACTATCAGGTGCAGTGGCGGAAGCCCAGCCAATACATTTAATGCAGTTGTAGGAGAGGTATCCTCTGCAGACGGCCAGAAGAAGTGGTCTTTGCGCGGAGTTCAATGCCTGTTGCATTTTAATCGTGACACTGACACCCCATATGGAGACGCAATGTAGAGCTATGCACTCAGCGACTGTGACATACCATATTTTGAGCATCTGTGAGGAGACACCCCAGTTAGCAGCAGCTGTTCTCCGCATTGTATTATGTAGCCTTTCTTTAAGATCCTTGATGTGAGGGAGCCAGGAGAATCTGTCGTCTATAATCACACCCAAGTAGCGGAAATGTCTCACGAATTGTATGTTTCTGCCATGAAGGTTTACGCACGGGGTATGCTCGTGCCTTTTTCCTGGGCTAACTAGCATTCCTTTGGTTTTTGCCCTTGAAATTATGAGCTTATGTTCACTGGCCCAGCGGACTATTTTGTCTAAAGCTTTTTGGGAATTTACCTCGTAACTGTTACGGCTATGATCGTTTGAAATTAGCAAGATGTCGTCAGCATACGCTATTATTTCTGATGTTTCATCATCATCAAACAGGTTGAGCGCAGTGTCTGCTCCCAGGTTCCACAGAAGTGGACCTAGGCAGGAGCCCTGCAGGCAGCCTTTCGTCACCTTTTGCATGTGGACGCCTCCGTCCGTTGTAGCTTGAATTTATCTTTCACTCAGGTAGCTGTAGATCAAATCAAATAAAGTTTCGGAACAATTGATATCTTTGAGACATTTCAAAACATCATGCCACCACAACGAATCGAATGCACCTAGAATGTCTATACTGATGACAACAGTATGCAGTTTATTCTGCTTCTTTCTAAGAACCGTGTTCTGTAGGTGATTCAGTGCGTGATCCACCGACTTTCCTGCTATAAAGCCATATTGCCTAGTATTTATGATTTTATTAGCATGAATGTAAAAATTCAGTCTTTGAAGTATTATTCTTTCGAGGATTTTTCCCATGACTGGGGTCAGGCAGATAGGCCTGTAAGAAGCAGCCTCGTTTATATCTTTATTTCCCTTTAGGAAGAGGGCAACTTCTGCTATTTTTGTGCCTTCTGGAAAATGGCGAATTCTCCAGCATGCCTGTAAATAGGAGAAAAGTATTGCCGAATGCGTGTTATGCATAATCTGAGAATGCCGTTGTCAAGCCCATCCGGACCTG